CACATAAAAATAAAATTAAGGTATTGTGTCCACCTACAACTAAAAAATAAACGTTTAAAAAATAGGCTGCAAATCATAATCTAAAGCTTATATATCCTTTGTTATCATTAAGAATGCTAATACAATACACAATGGAATATTACTCAGCAATAAAAGAGAATAAAATCATGGCATTTGAAGGTAAATGGATGGAGTTAGAGAAGATAATGCTAAATGAAATTAGCCAATCCCAAAAAACAAATGCTGAATGTTTTCTATAATATAAGGAGGCTGATTATAATGGGATAGAGAGAGCGGGCATGGGAGGGATAGAGAACTCTAATCAAACTATAATCCAATCAAAGTTGTTTTTTTAAAGGGAGAAATATCCTCTGGCACAAGAGTTTGGATGAAGTTCCTATTTACTATTTCCCTGATTTGATAGGCTAAAGGGTGCAGAAACCATCAACAAAGAAAATGCAATTCTTAGGCTGCAAAATCAGCAGAATGTGCAATAAAGTCAGTGCTTTGTCGATTGTATGTATGTATACAGAGAGGTGGGAAGGAAAGGGAGGGAGCATGGGGTTATTAATGATGGTGGAATGTGATGGACATTATTATCCAAAGTACATGTATAAAGACACGAATTGGTGTAAATATACTGTGCATACAACCAGATATATGAAAAATTGTGCTCTATATGTGTAATAAAACTTGTAATGCATTCTGCTATCATATATAAATTTTAAAATTTTAATTAAAAATAAATAAATAAATAAAATGATAATACAGAAATTTAAAAAAAGGAATGACAATACAGATTGTCCTTTAAATAGAACGCTGGGGCATTATAGTATCTTTTCCATATATAAACATCCCACAAACAGGAGATTGGGCAAATATGATATCTGGGAGGATGGGACAACATGGGCTAGGGAACAATCACTGAAATGTATTTCATTTTATTCTAAATATAAAAGTGAAATCAACCCTAAATATCTAGACTGTGGGAAACTGCATAGGATAAACAATCTGGTTTCTTCAGCAAATAAATTACAAAAAGAAAGATAAATTTTAAAATCTATTTTATAAAACCTCAACAGGCAAAACTAAATTACAAAGATACATACCTCAGTGATAAAACTCTACAGGAGGGGGTACTCATAAAATCAGATTGGTGTTTGCAAGTGTCACTGGAGGTGCAGGGCTTGGGTATATGAAGCAGCAGGTGCAAGAGCTGGCCAAGCTCTATGGCTTGAACTGGACAGAGGATGTAAAGGTGCATGCTTTTAATTAATCAACCTATACGTTGTTTGACATGAGTTTCTGTGTTGGTGTTATATTTTTACAACTAAAAATATTTTTAAAATAAAACTATAATCTGAAAGATTCACCAAAGCAGCTATTACAAATTTTTTCATACTAATGTATTTCTTTTCCCGCATTCACACTCACACCCTTAAATCAAATGCACTGCATCTGTGCAATAAAGTCAGTGTTTTGTGGAGTTTTCACAAAAATTCTATGGCACTTAAAAAGAACCATTTAATATCCTGGCTTCTGGCCACTGTTTAAATCTGGCATGATGATTTTGACTATAGTTTTGCTTCTTCAAGACATATATGTCCATGTTTATGACAACCAACACACACAAAAAAATTCTGAATTTAGCTTTCATTTCATATACCCTTTTTCATTTACCTCAGTCCTAAGACAAATGTCAACTTTAAAAAACAAACAACAATGAAGACAAAAAAGAAAAACACAACAAAAATTGTAAGTCTCTTAAGGAAGGTTCTGTGAGCTAAATTATATTCCCCCTCCAATTCCTATGTTGAAGTCCTAACCCCCAGAACCATAAAAAGACATAGGAGAAGACAATGCACAAGCCCAGAATAAACCCTGGGCACCTTGATCTCAGACTTCTCACCTCCAAAATTATGAGATAACAGATTCCTATTATTCTATTATGGCAACCATAGCAAACTAAGACAGAAAGCAAAGAAAAGGTAGAAAAAATTAAGGCTTTCTTTTTAAAAAGGCAGTAGAGAGAAAGAAAACAAAAAAGTACGAAATGTTACAATTTTGTTTGACCTATAATAAATAATGAAAAGAAAAGTTTAAGAGAATTCTGAGTTATTAACAAAAAAAGAGTACTCAACCAGATTCCACAAAAAAAAGGAAACATCCCAGAGAACTAAGAACAGAGGGCAGGACATGAGGAGACCAGCAGAGAAGTAATTGACTACTGGCTTTGGATTTTATGAGCAGATTGAGCACTTTCAATATGGTTCCTGGAAAAAAACCAGGGGAAATTTTTGAGTGAGATTTTTAAATGGACTGGAAACATAATGGAGGTGATGGGTGAAATCAAAGTTGTTTTCTTAAAGGGAGAAATATCCTCTGGCACAAGGGTTTGGATAAAATTCCTATTTACTATTTTCCTGATTTGATAGGCTAAAGGGTGCAGAAAACCATCAACAAAGAAAATGCAATTCTCAGGCTGCAAAATCAGCAGACTGTGGAATAAAGTCAGTGCTTTGTGGATCGTATGTATGTATACTCATGGAGGCTTACAACCTCAGAGCAGGGTACACTTTGCTGATTAAGTGTGAGTTTCCTAAAAAGGATATTACAGCAAGGAAGGCAGACAGCTGTTTGTTGGATCCACCCTACATGCTCATACTTGCATTCCACCACTCCCCTGACAGACATAGAAAGAAATGGATAGGAAACTGCCTGGTTTTTCTCCTCTTCAACAAAGCAAGAAGAGATAACCACATTTAGAAAAACTGTGTCATACAAACAAGAGAAGTGAATCAAATAAACAGGGGTGAGAACAAAAGGAAACAGAGACTCTAACTCTAGGTAACTTTTTTCAAACTATAAGCAAAATTACTCCATTCTCCTATGTCCTACCTAGAAGTATCTGATATGCTTTTCTGCAGGAAGGCAGTGATTTAGATCAACCATACAATTATCCTTAAGCTGGAATAATTTTGTGGAGGGACTAGCCTAATTATTATATTTAGGTCACTTGTAAAAATAAACAGGTTTTGTTTTTAAGTCTGTATCAGTTAGAAATGTATTGATAATGGGGCTGGGGATATGGCTCAAGCGGTAGCGCGCTCGCCTGGCATGCGTGCGGTCCAGGTTCGATCCTCAGCATACCAACAAACATACCAACAAAGATGTTGTGTCCGCCGAGAACTAAAAAATAAATATTAAAAATTCTCTCTCTCTCTCTCTCTGTCTCTCCTCTCTCACTCTCTCTTAAAAAATAAATAAATAAATAAAGGCATGCTATCTAAAAAAAAAAAAAAAAAGAAATGTATTGATAATGTAGGTTGAGCATACCTTATCTGAAAATCCATGACCAAAATGTTCCAAATCCAAAAATTTCTGATCATCAAAACAAAACATTAAAAGTTTTATATTTTATCACATTTTGGATTTTGGAGTTTGGGTTAGAGATGTTCAACCAGGAAAAATCTATTCAAATATTCCAAAGTCCAGAAACATGAACTCTGAAACACCTCTGATTGCAAGCATTTCAGGTAGAGACTTATTTACTAGCAAAATGTTGTAATGTCTGAAATTTGCTTTCAAATACACAAAGTTATTGTAATGTTGATAGCAGCTGACGCTGGAAATGGATGTGAGAGAGGTTCATTATATTTTAGCTTCTGTATGTTTGACATTTTCCATAATAGTTTTCATGGGCTAAGGGTACAGTTCAGTAGTATAGTATATACTATATCTGGCATGTATAAGGTCTTGAGTCTAATCCTAGCACCACAAAAGAAGAAGACGAAGATGAAGACAAAGAATAATTATTCTAGTTAACATATAAAAATAATTTAAAATTCAATTTCCTCTGGTATGGTTAAATAGAAAAATGTAATTTATTTTGGTTATCAAAAACAGAATTCAATTTGAATAAAAATCTTTTTATCATAATACAGGTTAAATAGGAAAATGGTGAACATAGGCTTTATATGAAAACAACTTAGGAAAATGTTCACAATATGTTACAGCATTTACTAAAGAACAAGCAAGATATAATATTATAGATACGTATGGTACTATAAAAAAAATATAAATATGTGAGACAAAAAACACTAAAAGGAAATGTAACAAAATGGAAACAAATTTAACCTCGCTCGCTACTTACAAGTTTTCTAAATAAGAATGTATCAAATTTTTATTCAGCAAAAGAAACACGGACAAATGATATATCATCAGATAAGGTAGAATAGAATGTGTGAACACTTTAGAACAAATGTACACTTGGCCAAACTCACATTGAACAGAAGGTCTACACATCAGTACTCTTGGTCTCCTATGTCCTAACGTACACCATTAGTCCATCATTACCCTGGGGAAAAACACATTCTCTCCCTCTGGAGGAGGCTTTTACTTGTATTTCAAGGTTTTCAGAGCTTACCTGTTATAGCCAGTATTCTGAGATACACCTTCAGGTATTTTAAATTCCCTGAAACATCTAGTAGGTCTAATGATTTTATACTTTAATTGGGGAATTAAAAATGCAAAGCCACACACTTATTCTGAACCTGAGATCTCACTACATCTTTTTTTTTTTTTTAGTTGTAGATGGACACAATATTTTTATTTTATTTTATTTTATTTTTATGTGGTGCTGGAGATTGAACCCAGTGCCTCACGCATGCTAGGCAATCACTCAATTACTGAGCCACAACCCCGGCCCTTCACCACATGATTCTCAAGAATTAACCTTAAAAGCAAATTCCAAAAATTATTTTCTGTAACATAATCTAAAAAAGAACTACTTGCAACTACCTTAGTCCTACAAAATATAACTATAATAATTGACAGTGTGCTAAGAATTTTTTTCTAATAACTGAAAGTTTCATTTTTTTAAAAAAATATTTTCAAACCTCAAAACCATCCTTTAGATGTATCACTGAAAATTGAAATCACGTGCAGTAGTGTATTGAAGAGTTTCAAAATTTCCTCCAAAAGAAGGAAAATTCACTTACTTTGCTTTGCACAGTCTTGCCTCCATGTTCGATGTGCCTCTCTATGTAATCCGAGGATAACAAATCACTGCAATGACAAGAAGAAAAGATGACAAAAGAGCACCGGTAAAGTCTATGAAGATCAGAATCAAGTTCACACACATCTGCTTTAACAATTCTTTAACTATATTTTAAAACAAAATCCACACATTATAGGAACAGAAAGAACAAACCCAGGATTTCTAAAAGGAGAGGAGGTTGAACTGGCTATCCCACCTGTCATCCAGTTGCTCAACAGCAGATTGCCTGGGTCCAGGCAGTAATTCTAGGAAACTACTGTAAGCACACCTTTTTTCTCCCCTTGCACTAGAGATTGAACTCAGGGCGCTCTGCCACTGACCCATACCCCCAACCCTTTTTACTTTGTGTTCAGGTCTTGCTAAGTTGCCCTGATTGGCCGGGAATCTTGGGTCCTCCTTCCTGCCTCAGACCAGAGTAGCTAGGATTACTAGCATGCACTACACACAGCTTCAGCACACCATTATTTTAAAGACATTTTATTCTTGTTTTTTCAAACTTCAGCTTTTTATCAAAAAGTTTTAATTGACTACTATATCTTATCATTTCTTTACGAGTTAACGTGTAATACTTTTATCTGACAAATTACTAGTTTCCATCACACACACAAAAAAAGAGGGGAAAATTAAAAGAAATGAAAAGGAATGTGCCATAAGCATTTTAAAATTACTTTCTTTTTAAGCCTCTTCTCAACAATACCTTCTTATATAAACTTAAATATTCATAGAACCTTAATACGCTTTAATCCCATATATGTGAAAAATTTTCCCTTTTAAGAGAAGTACCGCAAGACACACTTTCTATAAGAAGTCTTTAATTTTTTAAAAGCAGTAAAATATTAGTAAAATTGTCATCAATAAATAAAAATACATGAAGTTAATAAATTTATTTTTTTAAAGAGAGAGTGAGAGGGAGGGAGGGAGGGAGAGAGAGAGAGAGAGAGAGAGAGAGAGAGAGAGAGAAAATATTTATTTATTTTTTAGTTTTCGGTGGACACAACATCTTTGTTTGTATGTGGTTCTGAGGATCGAACCCGGGCCGTACGCATGCCAGGCGAGTGGGCTACCACTTGAGCCACATCCCCAGCCCAAAGTTAATAAATTTATAATGTTACTCTATTTATAATCATTGAGCCAACTAAAAAATCTTTCTTCAAATACTCTGTAGGTTTCTCAGCCAAAATTGTCACAATCATAACAAAGTTAATATCTGAGCACATAGGCCCATCTTGATAAACACCATGCCTACAATTGCTTGAAATATAAAGGGAATGTGCAAACATGCATTACATTAATGCAGGCACCATAAGGCTCTAGAATCTGATGCTTATGTTACCATTTAGGAAACCTATAATTATAGTCTAAGTCCATGCTTCATTGCTCTTGGGAACATATTTTCATATTAACTTTATATGAGACCCAGCCAGGATGCTATAAGCCTCAAGCTGCTGAAAACATAACTAAAAGTGGGTAAAACAATAAAGATATTTATCATCTTGTTAGAAATTCCAGGGCAAGTGTAATATGAATTTCCATTTGAGAATATTCTGTTCTGTTAATGAATATATTTGAAGTTTATAAAAATTATATACAAAACCTTTAAAACATTTTAGGTATAGATGAGTAGTTAGTAAGCAAAATTTTGTTAGATGTGGGCAGAATTCATAGGATGCTATTACTTCATAGTAAAATCTCCTATGTATTACCCATTTACAGAAAGGAATGGATACTCAAGAGAAAACTAATATATCCATTAGACACCTAGGTAATAAAAGTTCATGATATACTAAATAAGCAAGAGACACTTAACACCCAGGATACCCTAAATGTGCACAATCAATATTCTTGAGGTCTTATTTCTATCACCCACTGGTGCTACCAAGGGTTTCTCAATTTCTGACCTATTGACATTTAGGCCAGATAATTTTTTTTTGTCTCGGGAGGCTATCTTATGCATTACAATACATTTACCATTATAGTATATTTATATTTAGGGTAGAAGCAGACTGCCTGTTACACATTCAATACCAGTACAGCTCCAACACACCTCAGTCATGACAGTAAAAATGTCTCCAGACATAACTAACTGTATACTGGGAGAACACTCTGGTTAAAAGCAACTGCTAACATTCATTCTTGTCCCTTATGGTGTCTGTCCAAAAATCACAAATAAAACTACGAGTATTTGTCAGGTTAATTGGCATGCTACAGCTGCTGAGCAGGCATACTTGTCCTGTGTCTTTCGGATACAATAAGTGGGTGCCACTAGTTCAGGGCACCTGCTATCTGTGAGACTTGAACAAACTTTAACTCTGGTCCTCATAACCACATTATCAGCAGGGAAGACAGGTGCAACAGAGAAACAGGAAATATGAATACTCTATACTCCAGGATTAGCAGGTATGCTCCTTCTCATCCCCCTATACCCTATCCTGAATACAGGATATGCCCATCTCTTTCCTCTTATCTCTTATAGTGTGCTTAAGTTAATTTAGCAAACTGTTGCTGAGAGCCATAGCCAAGTAGGAATGACAAATGGCATTTTGCTTTGAAAGGTGACCCTGCTCAGGGATTAGGGTGGCTTCAGGTTTAGGATGGATCCTGCTGGATTTGGGTGGATCTGGGTTTAGGGTGGATCCTGCTGGGCGTATCCTGCTCCTTGAGTTCCTGTGGAGTTCTCACGGGGTTCTGAGAGTATTTGGTACGCAGAGCCCGGTGGAGGGTATGTATTTTCCCCAGAACATGCGTGTAGAGTGCCAAGGAGAGTTCGAGGAATAAAGAGTTGCTGTTGGAATCTACACGGCTTTTGTGGTGGCTCGGTTATTTTGTGCCCAGACAGACTGCGGCAAACTGTGAGTTGAGGATCTGAATTTGGTTTATGGAAGTTTTCTGCCTCCTGACCTCTGGGAGAGTTCTCCTGATAGCATACCAAGAGGCTACCATTGCACCAAAGTACGTTTCCCACATCAGGGCACTTCAAGGGTTGGCTCATGTGGTAGCTCTGTATCAATTAATGCAACCAAGAATATGTTCAACTTTCTGCTCTGGCATTAATCAGTACAGTGGTTGACCTGTTCTCTTAATTCGCTGATCTCATGACCTATAACTTTGCTGTTATAACTGAAAATATCTCATGAAGATTAAAAATATCCCATGGTAGGGCTGAGGTTGGCTCAGTGGTAGAGCACTTGCCTTGCATGTGAGGTGCACTGGGTTTGATCCTCAGCACCACATAAAAATAAATAAAATAAAGGTATTGTGTCTACAACTTAATTTTTAAAAAATATTCCATGATTTTAAAAAAATTCTTGGTATTTCTTTGAAAGAATGAGAAAACACTTAAAACTCAAAGCACCTAACATTTATATTCTCTAGTATCTTAAGCAAGAATTACATTACATGACCACACCTAAACCAATTCTTTAACAAGGACATTTGTCTCTGAACAATCAAGATTCAGCTCCCTGGCCTCCTCTGCACATGCTGACTTCTCAAGAGAGTTGAACAATATTTCAAAAATTTCCAAAGGTTTCTGACAAAATAGTGAAGCAGAACAGTAAAGATTTGCCTTTAACAAAACTAGTAATTGCTACAGCATCCACAATGCACCCTGTTAACCAAACCCAGACCCCAAACAAGCCCACAGCTAAAACAGAAGAGGTGGCAGCCAGATTTTTGCAAAAGTCAGTCCCCTGGCCTTGCTACCAGTCTGAAACAACTGCCTCAGGCCTCAGAAGTGGGAGAGAAACACTACCACAAAGAGGAAGTGTTTATTAGCACACCCAGCCAGGTTCCTTCTCTGGGGAATCTGAAAGAGTAAATGCGGGCAGGGTGGGGGTGGGGTGTGGTAAAGGGAACAACTTTCAGCTGATAAAAGAAAGAGAAGCAGAAAGAGTGAATAGCAGAGTGAAGGCCCCAAATCTCTGCAGCTGAAGTCCATGAACCCAAAACAGTCTATCCCTACTGTTGGGCATACCTGGGATCCTATCCCCCTCACTGTCACAAGAGTAAATCCCCATTATGGAGCTTGCATAAATGAAATCAAAAGCACCTAAGTGAAACAATCCACAGAGGATAGCAATTGTAGCAGTAGTAATAGCAATAATAATTTTTTTAAAACACAATTTTCAAGTCTTCCAGGTTTTCAAATTTCAAGGGAACATTGTCCTTTGAATTATAAAATCTAGGCATTAAGAGAGCATGAGTCACTGCAGGAATGTAATTACAGCAAAGAAAAACACTCTGCTGGGGAATTATGCAGCTATTTCAACCAAGCCTCTATATCTACAAGATTTGATAGAAAAGGCTCCATGTAATTTAAACCAAAAACAGTCCCTGCAATTTGGTTTTGTTTGTTTGCAGTATTGTGAAAGTATGCTAAGTATTGTTATTTTAATTATTAGGCTTGAAAAACCTCCTATTTAAGATGCCACTGTTCCTTCTACTGAACCATAAAATCCTCCTTACCTCCATCAAGTCTGAGAACACAAGTAAATTTCTTGAAGCCTCCTGAAGTAGATAAAATCAAAACTACCTGCTCTTCTTTTCCTTAGAACATCATTATGTATTGTTCAGTGAGGATCTTCTTATGTCATGGTAAGTGGAGAAAAACAGAGGATCTCCTTAGCATAGAAGTTTTACCTCACTGTAAGTGGATAAGGTAGAATTCACTCCATGATAACAGCTTATTCAATACTGATTGATATGTGTGAATGCTTGTGACCTTTGAAAGACAGAAATAAAACCATTTTCAATCAAATTCTAAAGGCTACTCATTTTCTAAAGGCAGAGATGGTTTTAAATTAAAAATGTATTCTCACAACACTTTATTTTCATTTACATGCCATAAGAAGCCTGGAATAAGCAAAACAAATACAATGTAAACATCTTCAGTCATAATAATGATTATCCTTTGTCTAGTGAGCAACTCATGAACCAGAGGCAGCTAGTACAATACAAAAGTTTGGAGTGCATTTGATTTTTCCATCTAAAACCTCTGCCATTTACTAGC